AGGGCCAGCTGTGACAGGACAAGGGGTGATGGTTTTAAACTAAACCAGGGTAGGTTTAGACTGGATGTAAGGAAGAAATCCTTTACTGTGAAAGTGATGAAACCCTGGCACAGGTTGCCCAGAGAGGTGGTGGAGGCCCCATCCCTGGAAACATTCAAGACCACGTTGGACGGGGCTGTGAGCAACCTGATCTGGTTAAAGGTGTCCCTGCTCCCTGCAGGGGGGTTGGACTGGGTGACCCTAAGGGTCCCTTCCAACACAAAGCATTCTATGATTCTATGATTAATTCTTTCCTGAAATAAATTGGTTCGGTTAACAGTTCCCAAAGGTTTGGCTGAACCTCAGAAAACAAGCGTCATGATTTTCTGTTACTTTTGTCAAAGATTTACTGAGAATTTAAAACATTTCCCATTGCCCCCGCTGGCAACCAAGTCTATCTCTACGGACAAAGCTTTTACAGTGCTTTAAGGGAAAGCCCGCTATTGAAAATGGTTGGTTTAAAAGTGGTTGAAATGACTCTGCCTCAGAGCAGAGGGAGCATTTGTTATCTCAGACATTGTGCTTTACCACCTTTTTCTTTCTGGGGAGCCCTCAACTTGCCTTGAGAGACCCTTGCTTTCATTGCAGGCTGTAGCAAGCTGATGTTGAAGCCGCAGACAACAGCGGAGGTGTCTCAAGCTCTCAGGTAACCTGCACCTTTTCTGCTGGACTTTGTGATGAGGCAACTTGGGTTTAGTCTGAAAGGGTCCAACTAATTGTTCAGGCACTAATTGCTCAACCACTGGAGTTACTGAAGCCATTTTCTTCTTGACCACGTGGCTTGTGGTTGAGGTCTGGTGACCTCAGCTCTCCCTTCTGCTCTTTATATCCCGGCTGCCCGTTCTTTCCAGACCACGGCCAGAGGTCATCTGTCAGAGCCCACTCAGGAAGTCGTTGACAGAGACCACTACATAAATACTTCATTGTAAGCAGAGGGAGCCGTGCTTTCCAGGCAGGTGTTGTGTGACAGATATGTAGCTATGCGTGGAGGTGACCCCAAGTGTTTGTTCCTTTGCTCGGTGCCGGGTGAGTTGAGTGAGTAGTTGTGCTTTCTCACTTTTGCAGTGAAACTGTCCCTTTGTATCGATTTAATCTTTAGGCTAAATGCTGCTTCACTTTCAGGAGCATTGAGGACTTGCGCAACAGCAGATGTTCATGTGGTAGTGGAATTCTTCTGGTAGACTGGATTATGGCCTTAAAACGCGTAAGACTTCAGAAACCTTTTTCCTTCCAGGTACTGCTATGAGAAGAACCTGGCAGTGAACCCACAGGGGGGTAACACCGGCCTTGTTGGGGGCAGCGTTCCTGTCTTTGATGAGATCATTCTCTCCACGGCTCTCATGAACCAGATCATCAGCTTTGACAAGGTCTCTGGTAAATATCTTAGAGGCGTGAGGCACAGAAACGAGTCCCAGGCCCTCAACCAGCCGTTGTCCTGGGAGATGATAACTGCAGGATCAGCAAGGTTCAGCCCAGCAGCATCATAAGGGGTATCGCAGGTTTGTTTCATCCAGGCTCCTGCTTAGGTTATAACAGTAGCAGATGTAAAAATACATCTGGTGGCAGAAGGAGGAAGAAAGAGAGAAGAGGAACACGGACATCCTATTACCTCTCTGTAAATCTAGATGAGAAGCCAGCAGGTGGAGCAGAATTCTTTTTCTTTAGAGAAAAAACGAAGAGTGGTGAAGAAGGCATGTGGTAACTACACCAGCAGGGGGAGGGAGGCATGGGGTTTGTTGTTTGGATCCAGGTTGTTTGGATTGGAGAGTTAGGAACCAGGCTGGTTTGAGTGTTTCGGTTCTGAGAGAGAGAGAGAGAGAGAGAACACCAAGCAGAGATACACTTAATCTCATTGTGGTTTACCAGTCCAGAGTTGTGGATGAGTGGATATTAAGGCAATGGCAAAGCTCCCCTCAGCTTGAGGAGGGGTTGGAGAATGCCCTGTAGCATGCATGGACTTCTTGTACGTTTAAGTTGAACCCCAGAGAGTTTTGGAGGAAGAGGTGGTTGCATCTGTTTGTACTTAACCTGCCTCTTTAGGAGGCACCTTCTTCTTGGGCATCAGCTTGTAGCAGGGCGTTTATGTTTCAGGAATCCTTGTGTGCCAAGCTGGTTGCATCTTAGAGAATCTCAACGAGTACTTGGAGGAGCAGGGGTTTATCATGCCGCTTGACTTGGGAGCAAAAGGTACCTGTCACATTGGTGGTAACGTGGCCACAAATGCTGGAGGCTTACGACTCTTGAGATATGGCTCTCTCCGAGGGACAGTGCTAGGACTGGAAGTGGTAAGGCGAGTACCTGGCAGTTCCCTTCTGCGTTTGAACCTCTACTTCTTACCCCATTCCCTGCTGTTCTAGCCCTTAGCTATCCCTTATGCAGACAAGTTCCTCTCCAGGCTTCCGCTCTTAACTTTTCCTTGTATGGCTTTTTTTAAGAAGGGGCATTGAGTGTCTTCATGCACATAGTGTGTTACTGCTACTGCAGTGTACAGCTTCCACCTCTGTCCTTGCTGACAGAAGTGATATTGGGTGGTTTTCTAATCTGGAAGGCGGCAGGGAGAGATTTGGTGATCCCAAGTTACCTGCATGAGGCTGGTTCCTCTGTGGAGCAGGGAGTCTCTGGAACACTCTGCTACATCCATCCTACAGCACGCTGCTTATTCGACTTTTAATAGAGCTGTCTGCTTTGGGTTGGTTTGGCTGCTGGCTTTCTCCTAGAGACTTTCCTGTTCCTCAGCCTGCTTCTGCCCTACAGGCTTGGGCTTCTGTCTGCGAAGGCTGGGGTTAGTGGTTTCAAAAAAAATTGGGGGCTTAGTGGCAGAGAGCTGATAGGAAATAAACTGGGTAGGTAACAAAAGCCTGGTTTGGTTTTACTGTGTAGGCCTAGAAAGGAGAGCTTTTGCCTTTCAGTTAGTCCCTCTAGCATCAAAACAGCCTTTAATAACGTGTCTTGGAGACGTTCAGCCTTGATTTCAGGCTCAAGTGGTGGAGGGCTTACTTCATTCCGGTTGACTGCGTTCACTGTTTCAAACAGTGTTCCTTGTTTCTGGTGAATAATGGGAGCTAGGCCTGCAGAGAACGGCTGGTCTCGTCCACCACTGGTCAGAAAAGCAGAGCAAACTCAATCTTCTGTTATTACTTGTCCTACTGGAACATGTGCAAACAGCACCGTAAAACAAGAAGCAGAAAAGTTTGGGGGAAGACGTGGGTAGCATATAGAGGGGAGAAGGAAGAGCTGGGTAATGGAGGAGCAGTAACAAGGCTGTGGGAAGGGGCGGCAGCCGGTGTCCACCGCTCAAGGCTAACGGCAGCTTTTCATTGGCTTGGTAGCAGACAAGCTTCTGACTGCAGGTTTCTGTGTAGGTGCTCTGACCAGGTCTCCATATTCCCACAGGTGCTGGCCGATGGCTCAGCTCTGGACTGCTTGGCTTCTCTGCGCAAAGATAACACTGGCTATGATTTGAAGCAGCTTTTTATCGGATCCGAGGGAACCTTGGGAGTCATCACTGCGGTCTCCATACTCTGTCCTCAGAAACCTAAGGCTGTGAATCTGGCATTCCTAGGTAGGAGCTGGTAATAGTAATAGCACACGTGAATTCAGAGGCTGGGAAGGGAATAGGAATGGAGAGAAGAAAGCAGCGATTAGCCTGTTGAGCTAGACTACCAGCATCGGCTTGTTTCTGAGAAACAGTGTGGTGCTATAGGTTAAAATACCTGTGCAGGTATTTTATATCTGTGGTGTAAATGTGTAAAATCCCTGCAAGGGCTGGTTGCTTGCAAGGGAAGGGGAGCCAGGAGCTTCACAGGGTGAAGAGGCAGTCAGGACAGTGCCCTCAGTGACAAGGTCTGACAGTACCTGAGTGAGGTGAGGAAGGGCAAGGCTGGTGAGAGTAGGCAGAGGCAGCTGCAATCCAGCAGCCACCGGGTGAGTCCATAGAATCATGGAATCGTTTAGGTTGCAAAAACCCTTTAAACTCATCAAGCCCAACTGTTCCCCTAACCCTGCCATCCCACCACTAAACCCTGTCCCTAAGCACCTCATCTGCCCTGCTGGGGAACCTTCACTGAGACTTTTTTTTTTTTTTCCCCCCCTCAAAACCCCCAAGGCTAGCAGGGGCTTCTCAAACAGCTTGCTTGTATCAGGTGTGGCCTTGAGAGCAGAGAGCTAAACTCCTGGGAGGGGATGAGCAGACTCCCAAGTGCTGACAGACCTCTGGAATACGTACAGTGGACCCCGGAATTTACCAGGACTCTCACAGTGGCTTTTAAATTTAGGGTTTTAATTTAAATAAAGGTCTTGGGGGACTCGGTTTTTTATTCCTGATTCCTCTCTTATGTTCTGTCTGAAGGGTGTCAGAGTTTCGCTAAGGTTCTGGAAACATTTACAGCCTGCAGAGCCATGCTGGGAGAGATCCTGTCTGCCTACGAGTTCATGGATGAGAAATGCATGGAGTTGGTTGAGAGACATCTCAAGCTGTCCAGCCCAGTGACAGGTACCAGTGTCATTTTGTGCTGTAGAAAGAGGCATTGCACTGCTTGGGGATTTTTAGCCTGATTTTTTTTTTTTTATGTATATTTATGTCAATGAGCCTGTGGGCATCCCTCATAATTTTTGTACCCAGTATTCAATTCCAAACACATTTGGTGGAAGTCTTTAAAGATCAGACTTTTTACTTCTACTTGTTCCGACAAAACTGCTAGTTTTCTGAAAAGCGGTGGCTGGGTAAAGGGTAGAGCATGCGAGTGGAATGCCCTACAGATAAAAGATTGAGCTGCCCTTCCGCATGGCACCAGAGAATCTGGGCAGTAGAGCGACCTCATGAAATGTGCCAAGCTTGGGAAAAGCTCCAGAACCTGCACTACATTCCTGTGCTTTTACCCCAGAGCATCTGCTTATTCTGTTCTCCCTTGCTTTCAGGCAGCCCTTTTTATATTTTAATTGAAACTTCGGGCTCCAACTCAGCCCACGATGAAGAAAAATTGAACAACTTCCTAGAACAGGCCATGACTTCTGGTTTGGTCACTGATGGAACTGTGGCAACGGATGATAAGAAAATAAAGGCAAGTCGTCGTTTCCTTTTGCACAAAACTCTTTGACATGATTCTCTACTTGGATTTGTATTTTGAATAGGGAAAATTCTCTAATAGGGAAAGTTCTCTTCTCCTAGGTAACAAGTGGTAGGACAAGAGGAAACAGCCTCAAGTTGTGCCAGGGGAGGTTTAGATTGGATATTAGGAAAAAATTCCCTCACTGAAAGAGTTATCAAGCACTGGAAGGAGCTGCCCAGGGAAGGGGTCAAGTCCCCATCCCTGGAGGTATCTAAAAGCCAGGCAGACGAGGTGCTTAGGGACAGGGTTTAGTGGTGGACAGGTACAGTTGGACCCAATGATCTTAAAGGTCTTTTCTAACCAAATGGTTCTATGATTAAATGTCCAGACTGATGTTTGGTATAAGCAGTCCTGAGTGATGTAGTAGCTTATTTGGCATATTGAATAAGAAAGCTAAGAGAGAATACTTACCACTGTTGATTCTTCCCAGAAAGCCTGAGTATTTGGGGTTTCAGTGGATGCTTTCTCCTTTAAAAAGATGAGAATAATGAATTGCATCTTTCAGTAGTTGCTGGGGTAGGGCACAAACTGCCTGAAAACTATTGAAACTGGAAGCTGAGGTGTCAGCGAGGCCAGGAGTGAGCTAAGTCCTGTAGGGCAGTGTGGCTGTGTCAGAGCCGGAGCCTGTAGTCCCAGGGAACGAGACGGATACATAGTGCCTCGGTGAGGAGGAGGGTGATTTGTGTCTGCCCAGCGAACACGAGTCTTTTACACTGACCCATGTTTCTTCCAGTCCCAGTTCCCAAACCGACCCTTGCAGTACTAAACTGGAGGAGGAGACATCCCCACTTCTAGGGAAACCCAGAGTAGCTTTGGAGAGCATGCCCGTGCCTGTGTCCTTTCTAGCTGGGGTACTGTCAAGCTTGAAGAGTTGGTGTATTGCTTTACTGCGCGATGCTGCCAAGAAGGCGTTATTACTAGCTTCCAAGAGGCAGGGGTTATCAAGGCAAATCAGAATTTGATGTTACATGCGAAGAATCAAGGCTCTTTTTCCCTCCATGCCACAAAACATGGAACCCAAGAGGTAATTTGGATTTTTTTTGATCTTTGATTCCTCAGATGCTGTGGAGCCTGCGGGAGAGGATCACGGAGGCCCTCACTCACGATGGCTATGTCTACAAATATGACATCTCTCTCCCTGTGGGAAAGCTGTATGATCTGGTGACTGACATGAGGGCTCGGCTGGGCCGGAGTGCCAAAAATGTGGTGGGCTACGGTCACTTGGGTAAGTGTAGCTGCTGGGAAAGGAGCCGATTGCTCTTTTGTGCTCCGGGGTTTGCTGGGCAACTTCCTAGTACTTTTAGAGGTTGGTTTTAAATTAGTGAGAGGCATAGACTAAATGGCCAAGAGCCGTTGGAAGAGGAGGATGCATAAGGATCTTGGTGTTTGATCTTCACTGCTTTCAGGCTGTATGCCATATATTAATGGCAGGTTGCTAGCCAGCCAGCCCCTGAACTGGTCATTTGTGTCTCCTTCCTCTGTACTTTCTAATTTAAGTATGTAGGTTGTTTAATTGCACCATCAATTTGATTAATGTTCTTCAACACAGTTGGTAGATAAACAAAGTCCAAAGTGATTAGTCGTATTGGAAGTTAATTATGTCTGAGCCATTAACCCTCCAAAAGAGAGTGATAAAAGTAATGCACAGAAAGACTGGTACGTTTGCCAGAACGCTTTGAAACTAATTTGATTTTGCATACAGGCAAGTTGGTAGCTTAGAGCTGTTCTGTTAAAAAAAGAAAAAGAGCAGAACACTCTTCAGCACGCTTCATTTGAGATTACTTGAAAGATGTGGAGAGACAGGTCTGCGCAACAAAGGCTGCCTCTGGTAGCTCCTGGTACTGAGGATTAAGCTGTGTACTGTGGGGATTTGCAGGAAGGGGTCTGGAGTGAGAATCACTAAGTTGTGGTTTATCTTTGTGTGTTTTGTCTTCTGAATACCCACCAACCGTGTGCTTAATCAAATACCATCATGTGTAAGCGGCAAAAGGAGAAAGTGTTCTGCTTGCTTTGTTTTTGTTGACACAGTGCCAGAGTGCATTTAGAACATTGCACAAACATAAAAGGGAGAGAGAAAGTGATAAGGGCCATATTAAAAGCAAATGATCATTATGAAATACCATCGGGGAAGTCTTTGGCATGCCATCTTGGTAGTGGGACAATAGTTAATGCAGCACAGTTGTTTCAAATTCCCACCCCTGTGATTTTAAAATTCAAAGTAGGGTAACATGGGACACTTCCTCAAATATTGTACTGAAAGCACAGAAAAACAAAGATCCTACTTGAATTATTTGTACATGGAGAGGCCTGATGTTTGTAGAAGGACAGTGACCTCGTTCTTTTTTGCATGGTTTGGAGGCTAACAAAGGCACCGTTGTTTCAAGTACGTGGAGGAGACCGTAATGAGTCTCTATGGCAGGGCCACCGAGTTTTTCTTACAGACCCATCTCTGCAATGTTTTCTTCCAGGAGATGGAAACTTGCACTTGAACGTCACGGCGGAGTCCTATAGCCATTCCCTGCTGGACGCCATCGAGCCGTTTGTGTACGAGTGGACTGCAAGATACAATGGCAGTATCAGCGCGGAGCACGGACTGGGCTTCAAGAAGAAGCAGTTCATTCAGTACAGCAAACCCAGGGAGGCAATCCTTCTAATGCAGCGTTTCAAAGCCATGTTAGACCCCAAAGGGATCCTCAATCCATACAAGATGCTGCCCTCCAGTTCCTGAGACCAACAGGCACTGGGAACCGAGCAGATGCCATCGCACCAGGGTGGCATCTCTAGCGCAGTAACTGCACTTTAGCCATAAACAAACTGATGGATCAAGCAAGCATGTGGAATGCTCCTTGTTTTATTTCCTTAGTGTGATGGAACAAGTAAAGGTTCCTCTTTTCAGGGGTGCCTTCTCTTTCTGTAGAAGAGCACACTACTGGTTTTGACCATGTGGGTTTCCTATTTAATCTGAACACTGAAACCAAGCACACAGGTATTGTGCCTGGATATGCCAGCTCTCTTTTGCCTTAGTTTCCCCTGATTTATTAGTGAAGTAACACCAGCCAGGAGGCATTTTCTCACTTGGGATGTGCAAGCGAAGCATTGGGGCCACAGGAGAAGAACCTGTGGATGCTATACCGCCATCTCCAAGTGAAAATATTGCTCTTCCTCGCTTGTTTTGATCTAATATGCTTGTCCAAAAGCCCGCAACAGCACCAGGTTATGGCCTCTTTAGTGATGCCACCTGCGGGCTGTCCCCAGCGGGCATCAGTGTTGTCCCACGTACAGCATGCCAGTACTGGTTTGCAGTTCTGGAACAACTAGCCAGAGAGGAGAGGGTGCCTGGAGACCTAACTTCTGGGTAGTGTCGGTTGGAGGGGAAACGCCAGGAGCCAGGCTGAGGGAAGAGATCCCAGGATGTCTGGCAGGCTCAGGCTTTAGGCATGCCCTTATTTCCTGCTTCCTTGTCTTCCAGTCTGGCCGTGACAGCCAGTCCTAGTTTGCTCTTGCAGAGGGCAAGAGCCGTTATCCTAATGATTTACAGAGATTGGCAAACCCCTTCCAAACAGCAAACTAGATTAGGCTGCGTGGAAATAACAACAGTGATGTTATGGTCACCTGGAGTTTTCTCTGCACTGTGCATGTGGTGCGTTAAGGCAAAAGAGATTTCTGTGCATTCCAGTACTAACTTATTTTCCCAAGGTGCCCCCTTACTCTGGTGGAGGTGATTCTGAGGCTCTCCAGCTGGTGGGCAGACTGGTGCCCGCATCCAGTGCCCTGCTCAAGTTGGTGGGGCCACAGAACGGCTCAGGCAGCCATTACCCAAAAGCAGCTTGGAAGATCTGGCAACAGTTAGGAAAATAAAAGAGTAGGAAAATAAAGTCAGCCTGTCTGGTGTTCAGGAGGATCCCCAATTGCAAAAGATGCATCAAAAAAAATAGGTTTACTCAAGTAGGAGGGCGAGAGAAAGAAGACGGTGGTGTAGGAAAGTATCAGAAGTCAGTGCAAGACCTGATGGAAGAGGAGGGTGATCTTATTTTTGAAGTGGCCTGATTTTACTCCCGTTCATTCTCTCATTGCTTCCGCGTGCCCTCTGACCAGCCTGTGTCACCTCCATGGGGTCTGGCCAGGGGCCAGGTCCTCTCACTCATGGGAGGATAAGGGATGTTTGGATGTGTCTTCCATACCTCTTGGGAGTCACTGCTAATTATGGAACAACCCCTTTGACTTGGGATCTCGCCTGACCCTCCACAAATCCCAGGCACCTTCTCTCTCTCCCTCAGTTTGAGTATTTTTTTAGTGAAGATTTTGGTAAGGCTGTTGATACTGTCCCTCACAGCATCCTTCTTGATGAGTTGCCCAACTGTGGGACGAGCAGGTTCACGGCACGCTGGGTGAAGAACTAGCTGAAGGGCAGAGCTCAAAGGGCTGCGGTGGATGGGGCTGCATCTGGCTGGGACTGGTCGCCAGACGTGTTCCCCAGGGCTCCATCCTAGGGCCAGTGCTGTTCAATATTTGTATCGGTGGCCTGGGTGCAGGAGTTGAATGCACTGTTAGTGAGTTTGCTGACAATACCAAACTGGGAGGTGCTGGTGACGCTCCAGAGGGACAAGAGGCCTTGCAGAGGGATCTGGATAGGTTGGAGCATGGGGCAACCATCAATGGCAGGAAATTTAACAAGTCCAAGTGCTGGATTCTGCGCCTGGGATGGAGTAAGGCTGGGCACGAGTATTAATGGGGAGAGGAGCGTGTGGAGAGCAGCCCTGCAGGAAGGGACCAGGGGTGCTGGTGGGCAGCAGGCTCAGTAGGAGCCCGCAGTGGGCCTGGGCAGCCCAGAGGGCAATCCCCATCCTGGGGGGGGTCAAACAGCACAGCCAGACAAGAGAGGGGATTATCCCATTATATTCAGCTTCAGCGCGGCCATGCCTTGAGTACTGTGTGCATGCAGCTCTGGGCCCCAGCGTTTCGGAGGGATGTGAAGGTACTTGTATGCATCCAGAGGAGGGCAGCCAAGCTGGTGGCGGGGCTGGAAGGCACATCCTCCGGCAAGCGGCTGAGGCCTCGCGGTTTGTCTCGTTGGGAGAGGAGGAGGCTGAGGGGTGACCCGGGCGCTCCCCTAGGAGGGGACATGGAGGTGCTGATCCCTTCTCCCTGGGATCCAGGAATGGCTCAGAGCTGCACCAGGGGAGGCTCAGGCTGGACACAAGGAAGCATTTCTTTACCAGGAGGCTGGTCAGACCCTGGGACGGGCTGCCTGGAGAGAGGGTCGATGCCCTGAGCCTCTCTGTGTTCAAGAGCCGTTTGGGCAATGCCCTCCATAACGTGCTTTAGCTTTTGGTCAGCCCTGAATCTGTCAGACGGTTAGACGAGATGGTTGTTGTAGGGCCCTTCCATCTGAAACAGTCTGTTCTGTTACTGAAAGGAATAACAGGAGCAAGCAGTTTTCCAGGTTAGGTAACTGAAAACCAGCTGCGATGCCTTCTGCGGACTGGGCTAGGTGATCCTTGTAGGTCCCTTCCAGCTGGACTGTTCTATTCTAAAATGGTTGGTTTTGTTGGGTTGGTTTTGTTGGTGTGTTGGGGTTTTTTTCCCCTACAATCTGTCTCTGTTTTGACATGACGGGGCAGATTGTCATTTACGGTTTGGTAAATGCATACCACGTTGTCACCCTTCTGTTACCAGAGGGCAGGCCATGTGCTAGTGAGTCACCTTCTGGTCGACGCCATGTTGGCTAGTCACATCCGTATTTACCAAGACTCGTCGCTCTCTTAACCCAGGCTCTGTTGTATCCAGATGAAGCGTGTGATTGCGAAAAGCCCAGGGATCTGCCCAAGATAAATCATGTCACACTAACCTGACCACCTTCTACAACAAAACGACGTTTTCTGTCAGCGTGAGGAGGGCAGTGGACATTGTTTGCTGTGATCAAAGCGTTCACTGTTTCCCACAGCCTTCTGAGCCGGCAAGGTGGAGACGGGGTGGGTGGTCAGGGGACTGGCTCACGGGCCGTGCACGGAGTGGGGCAATCAATGGTTTTTACTGGTCTGCTGTTTTGGGAGGCCTCACCGCACTCGACTATGAAAGGTGGTGTAGCTATGTGCTGTAGCTACTGTATCCAGTAGCTATGTGCTCCATTAGCTGCTTTTCAGTGGTTTCTGCTCTGCCACGGTGCAGAGAAATAGATGTTCCATCCAGAGCCTTTTTCTCGGCAGAAAAACCATCCTACAGAGTCTTTTTTTTTTCCTCTGTTTTTAACCAGAACAAGGCTGTAAGCTGTTGAATTGCATTAAGGACGATGGCTTACCACTCAGCACCGTGTTGTAATGCCCTTCGTGATACAATTCTAAGGTCACAATTCTCTCAGCTTGGCTGCATGGGTGCTTTTAGCAGAAATACTCCTCCGTCTGTTCCGCAGTGCCAGTATCTGGGCTCTTCCCTCCAGCTCCCTCTTCCTCCCCGCTGTCGGTGCCCTCCCCACCCCTCCTTGTTCCTCAGGACTGCTCAGCCAGGAGCTGATCATCATCTCCTGGGGTTAAGCAGAGTGAAGGAGCCTCTCGTTAGCAAAGAGCAGGCAGAACGCGAGATGCAGTCAGCCTGTGCCGCTTCTGTATCGGGTGATGCAAAAAGTGTGGAAAATCCATGATGTTTAGAGAAGAAGTTTACAGAGTTTGCTTTCTGCCAAGTTAAGCTGATGCAGCTTGTTCTTTCTGGATCAGGCTGTTTATATCCTCTGCCTTTTCCCTACCCCATTCTTTTCTCTTTTTTTTCCCCCCAAGCCACTGACCGTAATTGTACAGGCTTTACACGTGAATCATTCTTTTTGGGAAGCGGAACTTTCCATACTGCTTTTTTTTTTTTCAGCTACATATGGAGAGTGCTAGGGAGGGAGCCAGGGCTGCTGGATAACCTACTGCTGTGGCCAGGGAAATGCTGGTGCAGCTACATTGAGCCGCCGCCTTTACACACGAAGATCCTTAAGCTCAATGTAAGTTTACCATTTCAGCTAAAGAAGAGAATAATTACCCTGAGGGAATAGAAGGGAGGAGTTGAGGTATCGTAGGGTTATTTTACAGCATCTTTCTTAGACCTTAAACACCAGTATTACCCTTCCCTTTCACCTTCTCAATGATGCTTTCAAATATTGGTTCACTGTGGGATATAGGAGGGGGAAGACAGGGTGGGTACATGTTTCCAGAGGGGGTATTCTTATAAAGGATCTTTGTGTTAGGCATTTCTTGTAAAAAATTCTATTTTTATTGGAACAGACTTAAATAATAGAGCAACATGGGTGCTCAACACTTTGAAGCGGCGGTCTTCTGGTCTGGTGAGGAAGCACATGACTCTCTGTACTGGTTTTGGCTGGGTTAGAGTTAATTTTCTTCATAGTAGCTGGTGTGGGGCTGTGTTTTGGATCTGTGACCGGTGCTGATAGCACAGTGATGTTGTAGCCTTTGATGAGCAGGGCTTGCGCAGAGCCAAGGTCTTTTCTGCTTCTCCCCCCACACCACCAGCGAGCGGCGGGGGGGGCACAAGGGGCTGGGAGGGGGCACGGCTGGGACAGCTGACCCTGACTGACCCCAGGGGTATCCCGTGCCATATGACGTCATGCTCAGCATATAGAGCTGGGGGAAGGAGGAGGAAGGGGGGGCATTCAGAGTTCATGCTGTTTGTTTTCCCAAGTAACCGTTACGCATGATGGACCCCTGCCTCCCTGTTGGCGGGAAGCGGGGAATGAATTCCTTTTGCTTTCGCCTGCGCGCGCAGCTTTTGCTTTACCTGTTAAACTGCCTTTATCTCAACCTTCGAGCTCTCGTGCTTTCCCTTTCCGATTCTCCTCCCCATCCTGCTGCGTGGGTGTGGGGCTGACCCACCCTGTTCTCCCCGAAGCAAGCCAGCACGTGGAGTGGAGGCAACGTGGAGCTCTTTGTTCGGCATCCTGCCCAGCTAAGCTCATTCTGCATCACCCGGCTGACTTCCACCACTCCAGGTCTCAGAAACAGCCCAGCCCCACGTGAAGCCAAGTATTTCTGCATGGGCCCTGTATTTTTCTGCGTAACCAAACCTGTTGACTCGTGTACGGCACCCCAGGAGAGAGCAATGAATCAACTGTAAAAGTGTAAAAAATGGTCTTTTGTGATTTGTGGGCTCTACCAGCTTCTGAGCAAGAAATCGCACAGCTGACGTGTGTAATGTAA